TAAACCCAAATGTCCATTCACCTTAACTTTCTTGGTGAGGCTGAAAGTTCAATATTGAATAGGAATACACTGCAATAATGGAGATCCCCCAAGGGAATCATAAGGCAAACACTATACCTCACAATGATTATAATGTTATATTGTCCCAGTTTATGAGCTTGCTAAATTGCCTTCTGACTGGATTGAAAATCTTCTCAAATTACCTCGGTGGGGCAAATATTTAAGACCGAAGCACAGAGTCAACTCAAATTCATAAGTGCTCAAGGGCTTCATAAATTTCAAAGAAAACCGATTCACTTAAACAAGCGGGATCAATATATGATAGAATACTAGAGAGAGACGAGAGGAGAGAGGCAATTGGCAGTTCTTTCAGTCTTCCAAGTTCACATGCCTTGAAGGTATCAGACTTTGGCTGAAGTCACAGGTAGAGCCACAGCCGAATGCATATAAGGAGCAAAACAAATGCCACTGAGCATGACAATTTGAAGTTTTTTTTTTTTCCAACTTATCCCATTAACACAAAGGAACATGTCTGTGATCGGTGTGATTCATCAAACTGTCAGCAACATGACTTGTCAGTGTTGTTCTTACAGGCTTACATTTCATGAGTGGAAAATCACTGGCAATTTTCATTCGCCCTGTCAATTTCCGTTGTAATTGAACATGCAGCAATGCTCCGAATACCTATTAGTTTTTTCTTAGAGGGTATAACGGCACTAACGATTAAAAGGAAAACAGATGTGTAAAGGAACCCTATTTTAAACCACGCCACTAACATGTTGGAGCATTAGCGTCTTAACGCTAAAGATTTAACATCCGCTCCCAGACAGTATCATTATGATGATTAACAATTTTACTGTAAACAGCAGCGTTTGACTAACTCTAACTGGGTCCATTAGTAAACAAGCAGAAAACAAACAAAAGCAAACATATCTTCACTCGATTCCTCATGCTTAATTAGAAAACTTCTCAAAAGTTGGATCATTCTCTTGACAGCTGCGCACTTGATTACCATGGCAACAACCTTGCTGTAACACTACCTAATTATGATTAATTATCTGTTACCGAGGGAAGTAATCAGCACTTGCCATTGGCTCCCGAGAGATGATGATTAAATGCTGGAAAAACATTGAGGATCTTGCCAGCACAAGATGTCGATACGATCATGATAATTCTCGATTTAACCAAAAAGTGGGATTTTCATATTATCAGGCTATTAATGAGAGATTCGATTCTAAGAAAACACTGTCAGATATGGTTTGTATGAATCATCTTGAATCATTTGGATTTAGGGAAGAAGTTCTAGTCCCTAACATAGTACCATTCCCACCAATTACAAATGGATCCGCCACACTGAGTCATTCATGACATGTCAAATAACTTAACGTGACGGCCGTTAATCTTCAGTGCTTAAAGAAAAAGATGATGAAAACTAATTTCAATGCATTTAAATCAGTAGGCTGAAAACACACTGAATTGCTGCAATTGTAAGTAAAAGTAAGAAAATGGCAATTACGCAAGTGTCCCCTCTGGAATTTGACTTAACTACGGCCTATTAGCAAGACTACGCTCATTTACGGCACTATCAGACTCCTCATTCACATTTCCAAAGCCAATTTGCAGCTCAAGACAAGCAGAATGGACCTTTGACCTGGACAAGAAAGGGATGGAACCAGGAGGCAAACAAGCTGAGCAGCAGCTTATATAAATAATAAAAAATTCACACAGTACAGATGAAATTTTACTGTATGACCCTACTAAGCTGTATGATGTCTGGATCAGTCTCCTATACTACATCATTACGGAAAGGATAGCTTTATGTTTAGCAGCACTTGAGGTTTCAATTTCAGTAAACAGAACCAAAAGACGTAACGGTTTGGGACAAAATATCATACTAAAATATTTAGTTTCTTGCCATTCTTATTCAATTGTGCCGCAACACCTTTACTGAATCTACAGCTTGAAACAGATTAGAGATCGGTGTATTCTGATTCTGTATTTTTGATTAATCAAAAACATACAGTGCAATCAATGCACTACGATTCCCACACAAATGATTCTGATGGACAGTTATTTTTCAGTAAATCAAAAACATACAGTGCAATCAGTGTAGTCTGATCCCCGAATTGACTCTTATGAGTCAGTTCTTTTTAGAAAATCAAACTGATTTTAGTCTGATTAGTGATACTGATAGTCTGAACTAGTCTGATTCCTAAACGAATGGCTCTTATAAACGTTTCTCTTCAGTAAATCAAAAACATACAGTGTAATCAGTGTAGTCCGATTCCTGAATGAATGACACTTATGATCAGTTCTTCTAAGTGAATCAGAAACATACAGTACAAAAACTGTTGCCTGTCTACAAACCTGTGCTGACTAGCTGGCCCACATCTTTTCACAGATCTTCAACAGATCACTGGAGCTGTGCGAAGTCCCTGCCTGCTTCAAATGCTCCACCATCATCCCCATTCCAAAGAAACCCAAAATCACAGGACTGAATGATTACAGACCTGTTGCCTTAACATCTGTGGTCATGAAGTCATTTGAGAGGCTGGTGTTGGCTTATCTGAAGGACATTAATGGACCCTTACTGGACCCCATGCAGTTTGCTTACCGAGCAAACAAGTACATCTGGACAAACCGGGGACTTCTGTGAGGATCCTGTTTGTGTACTTCAGTTTGGCCTTCAACACCATCATCCAAGCACTCCTCCAGACCAAATTAACCCAGCTCTCTGTTCCTAGCTCTATCTGTCAGTGGATCACCAGCTTTCTGACAGATAGGCAACAGCTAGTGAGACTAGGAAAATTAATGTCAAACAGTTGCACCATCAGCACTGGGGCCCTTCAGGGCTGTGTTCTCTCCCTACTACTCTTCTCCCTGTACACCAACGACTGCACCTCTACTGGCCCCTCTGTCAAGCTTCTGAAGTTTGCAGACGACACTACAGTCATCGGCCTTATCCAGGACAGTGACGAGTCTGCTTACAGTCAAGAGGTTGAGCAGCTGGCCGTCTGGTGCAGTCTTAACAACCTCGAGCTTAACACGCTCAAAACTGTGGAGATGATTGTGGACTTTAGGAGAAACCCCCCAGCACTCCCCCCACTCACAATAATGAACAGCACTGTGGCAGAAGTCGAGTCATTCCTGTGTAAACATACCTTTTGTAATAATTGTGAAATTATGTGTTATGAAAGCATCTTATAATTTGCCAAAAGAACTACACTTCCAAATATTTATTCCTTAAATGTACTAAAATAATTGTTAGTGGAATAATTAAGGAACCAGAATTACCGTCTGCCTTCTTGGTTTAACAAACAACTAGCAGTAGATTGTTGAATCTGAAGCTATGAGGATTAGCAATTAATTGCAGAATTCCCATAAACCTTATCAGCTATTTATGAAGGTAGATTGATCATGAATGCTCTCAATTCAGCATCTATACCCCAGAACTAAAGAATCCAAGAAGCATGACAAAGGCAATCATTTATTAATATGTCAAGGTAATATTTCTTCAGCTAACGATTCTCTGCAGATGGAGAAAAAAAAGTCAAAGCTCTTAAAACTAGACTCAATTTGCATTCTAATACCCCATGTCAGATTAATTAATTAACAAGAAAACCCCTGCCATGCAACCACACGTATAAACCTGCCTAACTTTCTATCGACAAATATATAAGGTTTCAACAATGGAGTTTTAAAGGATTTGAGAGGTATTCATAGAAAATTAAGAACATGTGCATGGGTTTCATTGATATTTGATGAAAAAACAATCAAATATTTCCAAGAGGGAGGGGGAAAAAATCATATGATCTATTAGACAACAAATGGATAATGTTCAGTCAACCCGATTCATTATAGAGCTATGGTTACTCTTGTACTGTGCTCTGTTGTACAGAAGAACAAGTGACAGCCCATATCCATACTTCCATTGATAAAGTCTACAATTGATCCAGTAAATCCAATAACATGCTGAAGTCTGAAATGGGATCGAAATTTCAGATCCTGAAGACTTATTAGCCTGGGTCAGACCACAACATTAATCTCATAGCCGTCACTGAGCACTTACTATGCATGGAACTCCATCAAGTTATTACCTGACTCTTCCATGCTTGAGTTCAATGTTGAGTCAATTTGCTTTTCTTAAAAGAGATAAAGGATTCCATAGAGGTGAAGCCCAATTAGCCTTGAGGTTAACAATGCAAGAGTAACTACCCTTTCTCCTAATGGCCTATTAGCACAGGAGTTTGGCGAGTGTGTCCAGAATGTCTATAGATGTCTTTGGGCTAATGGTCTCCTTCAGACTGACAAAGACACCTCTAACGTCAACAAAAAAGGACAATTTCATTAAGATGAAGACTAGCCTCTTTAACATCTCAGTTGTTTCTTTTAAACAGTGTTGAAACTTAAATATAAACTCATTTCTTATCCAGTTCTTCCAAGACCAAATGATCCGGACTATTTTATCCACATTCATTCTAAGATACTTCAAGAGAGACGCCGAGACAAAATTTATACCCAACTAAAATTTACTCTATTTACAGTACTTTATTAATTGACAGCAAATTGACCAAACAATTTTTATGTTTTGGTATTTTCCTTTTTTTTAGCATGGATTAAAGGCATTACAAAATTAAAGGCAAAAAAAAACCATTCTATCTCAAATGCTGTTCTTTTGAACTTTTTATTCATCAAAGAATCCTAAAAACATTTATCACAGTTTCCACAAAAATATTAAGCAGCACAGCTGATTTAAGCTATAAAAGAGAAACCTGGGCGTTAAAGTTTAACTCTGGGACATGATGCAACTTTACCATATTGCTAAAACTGGTGCTGACTGATCATACAGCATTTACACGTATAACATTGAAACATTAAGCAAATTATCAAGTAGTTGCTGCTTTGCTAGAAGAACAACACATTTAAAAAAAAAGAGGCTGATGAAACCTTATGAGATCTCCATGTAATAGCCATTGTGTGTGGGAAGAATGTCAGCTCACCTGATGCAATGTCCACGCGCATGTTTTTCTGCTGAGTGACATTAATGTGCACTGTGACTTTTCCATCGTTTAGAGCCAATTCTAGCATTCCATCTGCCAAGGAGCTGAACAGGAGCAGGCCGCTGGGGTTCCAGGTACGGAACTGGAATCCCACAGACACTATATTGTGGTCCCTTCTTCCTGGCAGCTGCAGAAAGCTGGTGCCATTGAAGAAGACGGGGAACGTGTGCGTGTCCAAGCAGGAGAACGTCAGGTTGCGCTGAAAATGAGGCAGGAAACGTACAGCTTTACTTACAGCTGTTCACCATGTAGACCTACTGAGATGGTTAAACAATAGTTTATGAATCAAACATAAGTTCCCAGCTGAAAAAAATCTGCCTAGACCAGCTAAGACCAGCAAAGAACTTCAGGCTAGATGTTTTTCTCAGCTTGTTTTACATTCTACAAAACAGATGTCTCCATACAACATCAAATTTGATGTAACTCACTGCATATTGTATTTCTCATATGCAACATCTTTAATAAACTTACAAAGCTGCGAAATAAAGTGACTATAAATAAATCTGCTTCTGAAATGGTTGAGGACCTTTCATGTAGAACATGGGCTTAAAAAAAGATCCCTTAAAGTGCTGCTACAGCATGTTCCCAACCACGCTGTCGATTTCTGAACCTTAAGCTGGCCGCATGGAAGCAATGACAAGGACTGTTATTCATAACTCTCCAGCTCTACGTCCTTCTAAATGGTAATTTTGAGGCACCGAATGCACTTCAGACTTATTTCAAATCTAGAGAACTTAATCAGTCTCATCACAATGAAATAGAAAAGTGCACTCAGCCTTCTTCAGTGCTTCATAACAGAACTCATGTGATGTGTTTTATCAACCTTGAACATAATCCTTCAGACATGAATAATAATTCAGAGCCTGTCTATGGTGGACCCATGTCAAATTTGAGTGGAAAGGAGGAGAATCGTGCTATTTTCACGCTAGTAAAAAGATAGTTCAGACAAAAAATAAAAATTCTGACATCATTTACTCATCCTCATCTTGTTCCAAACCTGTATGACTTTCTTTCTTCTGTGGAACACAAAAGAGGATATTTTCAAAAATGTCTCTGTGGTTTTTGTACAATGAGTGTCAATGGGGTCCAATGTTGTTTTGGACCTAACTGACGTTTACTGACTTTCAAATATCTTCTTTTGTACAGAAGAAATAAAGTCATGGAGACTTGGAATGACATGAGGGTGAGTAAATAATGATATAACTTTAATTTTAGATTTCATTTTATGCAAATCTCTGGAACAAAATCATGAATCTAATTGTGATTGTGAATCATGATGTGCTAGTGTAACTGTACAGCAGAGATAAGACTGTAATTTTCATCAGAAAAAAAACATTGTGTCTCTTCATGTTTGTGGTTCCATTAATGAACCACAGAACACTGATATGCTTATCAGATATAATCTGCAATTATTGCATTCTTTGTATTATCACAGGCAGTGGAAATTAGTATTATTATCAGTGCTGACAACAGTCATCAAATCTGTGTAGATGATTAACATTCCAATCAGCATGTTGAAACAAATGAAACGGTTCCATACAGCATAGATATGAGGTTTAAAATGCGAGCTCCATCAATATCACGTCTGAACCACTCAACATTCTGAAGTATCAACCTTGCATAGTTATTCATGGTCATACACCTCCACAAAACCCTCCAGACAAAAACAACCCACCCAAACGTGTTACATTTGCACAGAACTGTCATGAATGTGAAAGTTATGCACTAAAACTCTGATCACTCAGATATGGTTTGTGGAGTTGATTGAAAAGGGAACAGACTTACGAAATTAGAAGAGTCCAGTTTTTTTCTTCTGGCCAGGTCAGTGATGTTCTCTCCATTGTAGTTGATGCTTTCCATGCAGCCTTTGAAGTTTCTTCTACCTCCTGAGACTGGCTTACCAGAATAAGGCATTCCTCCGAAAGTCAGCTACATGAAAAAAAAAAAATCAGACATAAGTCAGAAAAAACAGTATCAAGGCATTGCAACCCTCCAAGTCTAACACAATAATATATACAGAGAATGGAGTAAGATGGCTCCTTCATCTAGTAAACTGTGTACAGTATTTTTTTTTTTCACATTAGAAATGCATATGAGAAAAGTGATAAGCCGTTTTTATGCTAAAAACATGTTTCTGCATGTAATAGTAAATTTGGTAACACTTTCCATAAAGGTTCCCTTTGTAAAGGGATTATAAAGGTGTTCATAAATGACTAATAACTCATTTACAAATGCATTATAAATCATTGATAAGCAGTTATAAATACATGAATAAAAAACGTGATTTTAATGCAATTCATGCAAAATAGTGAGACATTTTAAACTCACGTTATAAATGCTTAATAAATATATTTATTCATACTTATTTCATTCGAAAGCAGATTCCTGATGTATTTCACAATGCAGCAAAAAAAGACTATTATAGCGAGACTGAAGGGTATTGAATTTATGGCTTTCTCATTTATATCTCATGACTCAAGTAAATTTTCTTTCCAGAAGCTACTCTGTATCTTACCCATGATACTCTCCAAGAGTTCATGATGCCTACTCACAGCAATGATTTGAAAATTGCTATCTTTTGTTTATCAAGATGAAGTTATCAAACTTTATTTTGGGGAACAAAATTCTAATTAGTTACCTGTGAATCTTACTGTAGGGTGAAACACGCATTCATGAATTATAGAGCATTTATAACATGTCAGTTAAAAATGGCTCACTATTTGGCAGGTATTGCATTAAAATCACCCTTTTATTCATGCATTTATAACTGCTTATCAATGATTTATAATTTGTGAATGAGTAATTAGTCATTTATAAACACCTTTATAAAGTGTTACCGTAAATTTTCTACATTTTAGTTAAAATTAATTTTATGTCAAAGCAAATTAATGCAGGTCTCTAAATATGCCATGCATGTTTGTGAATTGCCAGTGTAAAATACAATGCAAATTATTCAGCAAAAGAATAGGCATGTTTTTTTTAATTTTTTACCTAAAATGACTGCTGTGGGGTAAATGTTTCTGTGAATGGAAAAATATATATATATACATTCAGTAAATAAACAAAACTTGTATGTTTAATTTTAAATGAAAATATTTTCATTAATAAATATTTTCCTTGCAAGTTTATGAAAAAAAGATTTAATGGGATTCTTTTTTTTCCTCATTTATGTTCATTTTTTTGTAAATGGTTCCCATATTCACCAATGATTCAAATTACTAACCACTTTTTTTTTTAGAAGTCATATTTCCATGGTCCTTTTTTCAAATTCAATTCATAGTACACTTGTAAATTTAATGATGACAAATAATTAACCTCTCTTATATCAACTTCCCATAGGGACAACCTAAGTAAAAAGTGGCACATCTCACCCCACTCTCCTCCTACAGTACGTCAAGACTGCATATGAGAATAGAGGGAGAGCTTGAAACATTACGTAACACATTATACAAACACATCCTGCTGTATCAGGCACAACCAAAAAAATTAAGCTTGCGACAATGGAGTAAAATTATACATATTTTGTAAAATCAGATAATATCTAGCTATTGAAAGATGCTTAGTAAGTACTATTTTTCAAGCAATTTCAAACAAAGCCCCAGAAAGAAGCACTAGTGCTTCAATAAAATAGTCAATAAATGCAATTGTTTGTAAATGCAGTCTGTGCTCCAGCAGAAAACAACTCACCGGTTTGGATCTGTTCTCGGCTCAATTAATCAGACACTTTCGCTTTAATTAGGGTCAATTTGTCTTAGACCAACTGAGCTGTAACCAGCTCTGAAGCATCCAACAGTGCCAGGAGAGTCTGAGCTCAATTGAATAGATAAGCATTTGCTCTCAGACCATATTCTTTACGTCGCTGAAAATCTATTTCCTATACATTCCTCTACAGCTCTTGTTAATACACATCATTTCTGTTTGATAATATTAATATCCTGCGACACATTATTAGTGTGGATTAATCCTGTGCGGAGAAACGGATTTTCAGCCTTCTGTGCTGAAAAGATTGACAAGGGATACAAATTCCCACTGCAAACAAAGTTTAGCACCTCCCTGGGACAAAATGACTTTTATCAAGCCTGAGCTTGAGCTCTTTGTATTGGGTGATGGCTACAGTGTGACCATAATCTTACAGAAATCCTTGAAAGATACAGAGATAATTACAACACTTCTATTTTTGAGTCTGCTAACAGACTGTGTGGGAATGAGACACAATCCAACTGATGTAAAACTGAACTTACCCTGCTGAAAAGTGGACTTACACAAGCATATGTTGTATTCTAGAAGCCGGTGTCCCAAACCAGGCAGAAAAAAAAAAAAGTCAAACAGGTTTGGAAAAGCATGATCAATTTAGGTGCACTATACTTTTATGAGCAATACTTATTCAACCAGCAGCACTAAATTTTGTTTGTGAAAAACATGGTTATGTTGGTTTAAACAATTTAACAGCGCCAAACCATCATTAACTAGCATAAATCAGCCTGGACGAGAATTGTAAAACTGAACTTACCCTGCTGAAAAGTGGACTTACACAAGCATATGTTGTATTCTAGAAGCCGGTGTCCCAAACCAGGCAGAAAAAAAAAAAGTCAAACAGGTTTGGAAAAGCATGATCAATTTAGGTGCACTATACTTTTATGAGCAATACTTATTCAACCAGCAGCACTAAATTTTGTTTGTGAAAAACATGGTTATGTTGGTTTAAACAATTTAACAGCGCCAAACCATCATTAACTAGCATAAATCAGCCTGGACGAGAATTAAATTCATGCTTATTTAAAGTGAGAATTCTCACAGCATTTCCTGTTCATTGTCATCTTTGTGAGATGAATCTTTCCCAAGGACAATTTTTTTTTTTTTTTTTTAATGACCTGTTATGGGGAGTAACATTTTGAGCTTCAGCATCTCATAATGCACCTGCCTGTTAAATTAAGTTCAGAGCAATAAATCATTCACTTTCTCAGTCCTACCTCATAGTCCAGGTCAAGGTGGTCAAACTCCCCATTGGTGCGGAAGTGCTGAGTATGCTGATCAAGGGTGAAATTGACATTTCTCCTGTAGCGCTCAATTACTACAGAATGCCAATGATGATCGTCCAGCAGACTGCCGCTAGTCACAGATGTATGGCCCAGGATGGAGCCGTACTGATTACTTCCTACAGTTTATTAGACATGGGAGACCATCGTTAATATCAATCACAAAATATCTTCACCTTCACTGCAGTCTTCGCAGTGCATATAAGATGTTTATGCCCTCATGATATACAATATAATGGGTTTTGTGTTTTACAGTCTATGAGTATTTCTTTTCCCTCCAGCTAGATTTTTCTGCAATGCGGGTCCATGAGATATTAAAGGGATAGTTCACGCAAATGAAAACTCACCCTCATGTTGTTCCAAACTTCTTATTCTGTGGAAAATTCAATTAAAGTCAATGGACATCTGTGTGGTTTTGGACTCCATTGACTTATAGGGACAAAAACAGTTGAAATGTTCTTCAAATGATCTTCTTTTGTGTTCTACAGTTTGGAGTCAGCAAGATGTATTTTTTAAATGTTTTTTAAAGAAATCTCTTATGCTCATTTATTTGATCAAAAATACAGTAAAACAGAAGTATTGTGAAATATTATTACAATAAAAAAAATACATTTGAATATATTTTGAAATGCATATTATTTTCCTGTGAAAGGAAAGCTTAATTTTCAGCAGTCATTACTCCAGTCTTCAGTCTCACATGATTCTTCAGAAATCCTTCTAATATGCTGATTTGCTGCTCAAGAAACATTTCTTAATATTATCAATGCTGAAAATCATTGTGCAGCTTAATATTTTTGTGGAAACTGTGATACATATTTTTCCAGGATTCTCTGATGAATAGAAAGTTTAAAACAACAGCTTTTAGTTGAAATAAAACTATGTTGTAACATAAAAAGTAACATAAATGTCTTCACTTTTTGATCAAATGAATGCATCCTTGCTGAATAAAAATATTATTTTTTTATTTAAATAAATAAAATAAAAAATAAAAAGTCCTACTAACCCCAAACTTTTTTTTTTAATTGCATGAGGGTAAGAACCATGACATAATTTTTATTTTTTGAGTGAACTCTCCTTTTAAATGTAACTAATTTTTACCAAAGTATCAATGAGGATCAAACAATCAATTAAATAACAGAAGACAGCAGGTATAAAGTCAATAAATAACATGAAGAAATACTTACAGCAGCACATTAATTAAAAAAAATAAAAATACACACCAAGGTACACACAAGCGCACCATAAACACAGCAGATATCTATTAGGCCTCCATATGAGATTTACCGAGGTTTATCTGCAGCAGTAGCCGGCCTCTCCTCAACTCCAAGGTAATGTAGTCACCCTGTTGCCCCTCTCCGTGCAGAATCACCCCTTCACTCTCTGATGTTTTAAACTTCAGGGCTATCACGTCCTTCAAAATTTTCATCTTCTTCATTTTGAAGCGGTAAGAGATCACCCCCTGCCCGTCAAAATTAATCACATCTGCCCCTGTTGATGGAAATAAGAAAGACAGGAGGAGGAAAAGAGATTAGCGCCTCTGAGGTGACTAGGTGTCATGCCCATTTTTGGCTAAATGATCGGTTGAGTGACTGTTCTATAGATTGCTGGGACGAAAGCATGGCGAAGTTCACAGAAAAACTGCAGCTGGGATCAGGTGATAAACTACAGTGAGGAGGCAGAAAATTGCAGTGGGCTATTACCTGCTGACAAAGCCTTTCTGCTTATTGCGCAGAGGAGGAGGATTTTTGATCCCTGTCAAGGCTCAGAATGATGCATACCGGAAGTTATGAATGTAAATTCCATTCGCGGCATCTCTGGCTCGCTCTCTTGGTTTCATCTCCTGCACTGACACCGCATAACCTTTGGATATATTACACATGCTCATGGTGCCTGATGGCACTTGATTGCTTTGCAGACTGTCTTTATATCATTCAGAAGCCGTGTAAAATCTGTGATCAGCATGAGAAGGTTATTATAAAGAGATCTACAGCAACCTGAGAACAGAAAAATACAGATGTCATCATGTTCCCTTCCACCAATAAGATTGAAGTGGCGTGTTTATTCGCTTGCTTTACTGAGAGATTGATTAAGTTTGATTTGAGCTTAATTAAAATGTAAATGATGGTGCTTGCAGAGCACTAATTCCAAGTATGGGTCACCATACTTGGCCACATGTCACATCACTTAAATCGATCAAAGGTGAGAGTACTTTTACATTGTTACAAAAAATTGTTTGCATTTACATGCAATTATGAGAAAGGACAAATAATTCTAACCAAAACATAATGTGATGATTATGTTAATTAAATAAAATTAAATGATTCATGGTGGGTGTTTCAGAAAACAATAAACCAAAATATTACATACGGAGTATGTTTCAGGTCTGCAGTAAGTATTATTTTTAAGTCAGCCAGCGAGTAAGATATTTCCATTATTTGAATGGATCGTTCATGCATTGTATGCATTCCTGAGGCATGTAAAATCAATTTGCATTTATCAGCTTCCATTAGCAGAGTAAATTGCAAAATGATGAAACAACTGTATTTGTTTTACATGGACAAAGCAGGTGAGAATATGCGTTCAGTGTAATCTGTCATGTCCACAATCACCAGAGGATGCCTGTAGTATGTAGCGTCTTCTACGATCGTGTGTGTGCGTCTGTGTCTAGAGTACAGTCTGCATGTGGAATTAATTCAATTCTCTCCATGCACCCTGCTGGGGACTGATTACTACATTAATGCATGAGTATGTGTATCTGTCATGTCCACAGACGCCTGATGCCTGTAGTATGTAGCGTCTTCTACGATCGTGTGTGTGCGTCTGTGTCTAGAGTACAGTCTGCATGTGGAATTAATTCAATTCTCTCCATGCACCCTGCTGGGGACTGATTACTACATTAATGCATGAGTATGTGTGCTATGTCTGGCCAGTTGCTCTTCCACTCCTCTTGTCTCTCTCTCTCTCCACTGCCAATCCCCTTCACCTCCATCACGAATGCATTCATTCGTTCTCGCCCGATCAACAAGGTCAGAGCACTGCATTCATTCTCATTCTGTGCTTCATCTCCACTGCAGGTCTTGCTTATCTAACTCCCATTCTTTCCCTCTATGCTCCCTGCGAAGGGCTATCTCTATTCCTTTACTGCACATCTTATTTATTTTCACTCAACAGTCAGTGCATTTCCGTGTCTGAAGAGAAACCGAGTGGCGGAAAAGGTCCCCAAAAAAAGTGTTTTTGTAATTTTTTATATTTTCCTGTCAGAAACATCTGCCTAGGAACATGGTAACTGGTTATTAGCCGGTTCTGGCTGGTTTAAGATGGTCATTAATAGGTTCAAGCTGGTCATTACCAAGTGTAAACTGGTTTAATACAGCCTTTAGTTGGTTTATACTGGTCAATAGCTGATGAAAGCTGGGTTAAGGTGGTCATTAGCTGGTTTTAGCTGGTTATTAGTTGATTTAATATGGTCATTAGCTGGTTTAAGATGGTCATTAGTTGGATTAAACTGGTTTAAGATGGCCATTAACCGGTTTAAAATGGTCAATAGTTGGTTTAGGAAGGTCATTAGCCAGTTTAAGCTGGTCATCAGCTGGTGTAAGCTGGTTTAAGGTGGTCATTAGCTGGTGCAAGCTGGTTATTAGTTGCTTTAATATGGTCATTAGCTGGTTTAAGACGGTCATTAGTTGGATTAAGATGGTTTAAGATTACCATTACCAAGAGTAAACTGGTTTATGATGGTCATTAGTTGGTTTAGAAAAGTAATTAGCTTGTTTAAACAGGTCATTAGCTGGTTTCAGATGGTAGTTAGTTGGTTCAAGTTAGTCATTAGGTGGGGTAAGATGGTTTAAGGTTCCCCTTCAGGAACTCAAGCTGCGTCGAGATTCACTTTGGGAACGCCCCTGCATGACCGCGTTCTGAAGCACGTGTAAAATCAGTCCAATGGAGCAGCGAAACGTCACGAGCGGGGTGACGTGAGCGCCAGGAAGTATAAAAGCGCATCCGGCAGAGCAAGTTAGCTTCTGCTCTTCAGTAGCGCTCTGTGTATGTGTCAGTCTATTTACTGTTGTCTGTCAGTCCACAAGCATTCAAAAGAATATGTCAAAGTCTAAACTAATATCCCGCTGGCAGCGGTCCCGCTGCTGCCGAGGCACGGTGTAGATTGTTGTCGTGGGGATCGCAGGTGGATTTAGCGGAGGGATCCGAGACGGGCTTGTCCTTTTCTCGGTCCTCACCCGCTAGACCCGTGGCTCTCTCTCAGGGTTCGGAAGCCCGCGCTGCGGTCGAGACAGAGGAGACTGTGGACTCGCCACCACAGTCCCTCGCGTATGAGGTGTGAACTCGTGACGTCTCGCTACTCCATTGGACTGTTTTTACACGTGCTTCAGAACGCGGTCACGCAGGGGCGTTCCCAAAGCGAATCTCGACGCAGCGTCTCGTTCCCTCGGGGAACCATGGTTACATACGTAACCTAGAGACGTTTGTCATTAGCTGATTTAAGACAGTCATCAGATGGTTCAAGTCATCACCTAGTCTAAGATGGTTTAAGAGAGTCATTAGCTGGTTCAAGCTGGTCATCATCTGGTGTAAGCAGGTTTAAGATTGTCATTAACTGGTTCAAGCTGGTCATTACCTAGTGTAAGATGGTTTAAGGTGGATTAAGCTTGTTATTACCTATTGTAAACTGGTTTAAGTTGGTCATTAACTGGTTCAAGCTGCTCATTAGCTGGTGCATGCTGATCAGTAGTTGGTGTAAGCTACAATAGCAGGTAGCTTGTTTGTTATAGGTAAGGTTGTCAAATTAATATGTTAATTTAGGATGATGATGATGATGATTATTATTATTATTAGTAGTAGAAGTATTAGTATTTTAATTTTGAATATTTAATAGTAAAAAAATTAAAATTAACATGTCATGATGTCAAAATAGTCATGCCCACCTGAATAAAACATGAATTCCTTAACAAGAGATTTCAACAGTTTTGCCACAGTGGCTGGTGAGCAAAAGAGTTAATGTCAAGCCCTGTAGACAGTGAATACTTGTATTTATACTTGTATTGCACTAAAAAATGTGGTGTTTAACCGGAGTACGGTGGTGGGGGTGCTTGACGTGTCAAACACTAGAAAGGGGTGCACGCAGCAAAAAGTTTGGGAACCACTGCCTTAGAAGAAAACATTACATGCATCTTGATAATACTTGAGATAGTATTTTAAGGTATGTCAGTGCAAGTTTCTTTCAGTTAAAACAGCTCAGAAATATATTTTAGTCTGGCACTAGGCTTAAGCCTTGTCTGTGAAACCAGGGGTACATGTATCAAGCTGTAAGCATTAAACTTGTCAAAGAAATTAGTACCATATTTCATACACACTGACACTGTACATGTATACAACATTAGCAGTCACTAATACTAATTTTGTCCACTCCTAACAAAAAAACAACAACATGATTTTGTCATTCATGCACATATGCTTTGTCTGTATTACCACACAG